CTGACAAGTGCTAAGTGGCATGGCATTCAACTAAAAACTATGCAAGTAGTTTTGCTTGAAGTTGAACATGTAAACAAAATCAATCGGGTCGAAAGGTCCCACCGGGAGTCGAACCCAGGTCGCTGGATTCAAAGTCCAGAGTGCTAACCACTACACCATGGAACCTTGGACGAGTGCATTGGTTAAAAAATGCATGGAAACTAATTTCATTCTGTCATATGCTAGAAGACAAAAGAAACAGGGAGCGAATTTAATGATTTTTCATTTATATGGGAGAAAATTGTTGAATTCATGAGTCTTAATTTTTATTAGTACCTTTGATTAAAAAAAATATTAATCAGTAAAAATCCAAACCTATCTATATATTTTATGGAGTATTTATCTCCATTGCCTTTTTATTATGGTTACTCTTAAGAAGTTTCTAATATGATTTTTTTAATCATAATTTCTACTTAGTATGAACTTGAACTTTACATCAACCTTCTTGTTTTTAACTTTTGACCCTATGGAAAGTTGAATTTTCTTTGTAGTCCAGAAGAACAATAGTAATCTGCTACAACGTTATGCTGATCCATAAAACAATCCAAGACCTTGTCAATGATTTTGTTAATTAATGATACCTCTTTTCATTTTGTCAAAACTGGACGTCTTTCATTCAATTGATGAATAGGCTGAAAATGTTCTCTCCTAATTAAAAAAAAAAAAAAAAAAAGAGATGCTTTGAGTTTAGTCTTTAGTTACTCTGAAACATTTTTGTCTTCTTTTGGTTGAGATTCGACACTTTTTCTTTTTGATGGAAAGAAGGAGACATATATTTGTTATTAATGTAAATAACAATCGACAATTTAGAGAGATGGAGAAATAACTATTTATTTTTTCAAACTTTTAATATTGACAATTTAGAGAGATGGAGAAATAACTATTTTTTTTCAAACTTTTAATTTTGACAATTTAGTATGATTTTACTACTATTATTTTTAATAAGAATTGCAAATATGATTTTTTTTAGTCATAATTACCATTAGTATGAACTTTCCATTAACCTTCTTGTTATTTATTTTATTTTATTTTGCCCCTATAGAAAGTTGGTAAAAATTTTTTTTTTTTTTTTTTTTTTTTTTTTTTTTTTTTTTTTTCGGGTCAGGAAGGAAAATAGTAATCTACGACCAAAAAGTGCCGTTATTTTGGCGCTTTAAAATAATCCAAGACCTTGTCAATGATTTTGTTAATCCAATGACATCTCTCTTCATTTTCTCAAAACTGCACGTCTTCAATTCAACTGATACATAGGCTAGTAATGTTTTTTCAGCTTTAAAAATAACTTGATGCTTTGAGTTTGGTCTTCAGTTAGCTTTGAATCTTCTTTGTTTTCTTTTGGTTGAAATTAGATACGTTTTATTTTTTAATGAAAGAATGAGACACATTTACTTATTAATGCCGTAAATTATTTCTATAAAAACAAACCAGGCCCATTAATTTGAGGCCAATTTTTCATTAGGAGTATTCACGAAATCAATTTAAATGTTTTAGATTTACCTGCCGATTTAGAATTTCTCAATATACAAAATCCGTAAATTCGAAACATATTATATATGTAATATTTTTAAGTTAAGTTTTATTTTCAAAAAAAAAAAAAATTGCATATATATATGGGTTATTTTGTTGATTATTCAAATTTAGTGGAAGTTCTGATTTTTGTTAAATTAAGTTTTAACTTATGAGCAATGAAGATTTCATTTTGAGTTTTACTAAATCTAATTTGTCATTGTTAATTAGGTTGTAACAATTTAGAATTTGTTGAGCTACTAAATGTTATGCTATGTTTATTTAGGTTATGAATACTGCAAACTTTGAACTTTAAAGTAATATTGATAAATGATAAAGACTTCATTTTGTGTTTTATTTTGTGTGGGTGTTTTATATACTTATTAACTTTAAATGTGCTAATTCGTGGAATCCATAAATCCAATTAGCTTAACGGTTTTAGATTAGAGTGTAAAAAGTTTTAGATTGAATACGAGATTTTATCAATTCGATAGTTGTGGATTAAATTACAAATTAACTCCTAATTTATTTATTCCAATCCATGAACACCATTATTTTCTGTAAATCATTACTGAAGTTATTCAGACTAAATAAAAAAAAAAAGACCTCTATTTCCTTTTGCCTCCAATTTTCTATAAATATTTGGACTCCAACAAAAATGACCTATATTTCCTTCTCTCCCTCTCTCGTTGATAAAACTCTATTTCCCTAAGATTGTCGAAAGATTCAAACGCAAAAGGTTCATTATTTTCTTTGATATCATGATGCCTAAGAAGTTAGAACCGTTGGATAACAGCCCCCAACAAAGTGGTCCCGCCTATATCAGCGGCTGTAAATGGTCATGGCTGCGTCCACAGCCACGTGGCATAATACGATGATGTGCTCTTTAGGCCCTCCACCTGGGCTTGAGCCGCCACTTGGGTGAAGGCGTGGCCAGTCAAGTCAAACCCACAACCTTTGACCAAATAGTTTTCCACGGTCAAAGAAAAAGCTTTTATGCTTCTCAGAAGAAGTTTGAATCAATGTAAGTCCCAAAATGCATTACTACATACAGTTCCTTTCATTTTCCTCCGTTTGCCTTCCTCAGTGGGCTTTATATATATATATATATTTTATATACATATAATATAATATATAAAACTTTGAACACTTCTCTATATATATATTCTTACCACAACCCCAAACTCTCTCATCCACATAAAGCAAAAACCAAAAAACTTTCTCATGACTTTTTCTTTCACTAACCTCCTCTCCAACAACATAAACATAAACATGGGCAATATTGACCAAGGAAACAACAACAACAATACTAGCTTAAGCTGGGGATTCTCGGACCAAAATGGAATCGAAATTCCAAGGTTCAAGTCTCTTCAACCTCCTTCATTTCCTCTTTCTCCTTCTCCTTTATCTCCTTCTTCATACTTGGCCAACACAACTCCTTTCAGCCCAACTGACTTCTTGAACTCTCCTATTTTCCTCTCAGTTTCTAATGTAAGTTTTTACATGCTTTTTTATCGACAGTTTATGTTTCTGAACATTAAATTGGTCAAAATCATGTATAACGGCTTAAAACAGAGAGCTACTCGTAAATTCTCATTACTTGTTATGTTTAGCTTTGTTGGGTCGTTTGCGGTCTTTCTTACTTTGTCCTGTTTGTTCTTGTAATTCAGGCTCTTCCGTCTCCAACAACCGGGGCTTTTGCTAGTCAAACCTTTGACTGGCGGAGTAATTCCAACGACAACAAGAAAGAAATTGAGGAGGAAGATAATTTCTTCTCTGATTTCTCATTCCAACCCCAAACTGGCTCTGCTTCAACAACATCGTCGTTTAACTTCCAAGCCTCTTCAAACACGGTTTCGGTGGTATGGTTTTTGTTGTAGTTCCTTCCCAAGTCTTGGCATACAATTTTTGGGTTTTGTTTTTTCGTCATTTCTTGTTTTTTCTTTCTTTTGTTTCTTACTTCCTTATTTTTAATTCTTTTGGATATTTTCTGAGAGAAGACCAAGACTTTTTAAGCTATATTTTACAAGGAGGCCTAAATAGCTCTTATGCATGGCCTTTTCACTAAACCGCATAATTTATTTATTCATTTCTTTATTTTGATACTGAGTACATCATAAATTGAAACATTGATAGACCAAGACAACAATTCTTGTACCCCATGTGCAAATTTTTCGTCATGTCCTAGTTGAGATGTTTAGTTTTAGGACATATTTTGAAATTAAAAATACAAATTTTTAAAGTAAAAAAGGTTAGGACAAAACGGTAATTCAATTTTACAGAATTAACAAAGTTTTAACAAATTCATGTTATTTATTTATGAGACTAAACATTATTTTTCTTATCCCAGCAGGAACAATCAATGGAGAGGCAACAACAAGCATGGGATTTCAACGACAAAACCAAAAACCAAAACACTAGTTTCTCAATACAGAAATCAGAAGTGAAGACAGAATACCCAACACATCAGAATAGTGTCGTTTCTTCAGAACCCCAGTATGGTCAATACGTGAGGGAGCAAAAATCAGATGACGGGTACAATTGGAGGAAGTACGGACAAAAACAAGTGAAAGGAAGTGAAAATCCACGTAGCTATTACAAGTGTACAAATCCTAATTGCCCAATGAAGAAGAAAGTTGAGAGGTCTTTAGATGGCCAGATCACTGAAATTGTGTACAAAGGAAGTCACAACCATCCTAAGCCTCAGTCCACTAGAAGATCAAATGGGGTTCAAACTTGTTCCCACACAAATTCAGGAGTTAATTCTGATCACTCAGGACACACCATGTCCAACGTGGTGCATGAGGATTCTTCGGACTCCATTGGAGAGGTAGGTTTCAATCGAAATTCGCCTACCTTTAACTCCGGAGGAGATTTCGATGACAATGAACCCGAAGCCAAAAGATGGTAAGCTCAAGAAAGACTTATAAAAAGATCTTTCATGTGGTTTTAATGGGATTTTTTTATAACATAAGTAGACATGTTTTAAAATAGAAAATAGTACCCTTACCTGTAGTGTCGAGTCAGGGTTCTCTCACAAAGGCAGGACGCACCCTATTTTTGTGAGAGAATCTCATCCGGGTTGAATAGTGATGTTCTTTCAAATATGATAATGTTTATTTGAACCTAACTCTCTAGAAACACAAATGTTGAGGGGCTCCGCAAGCCTAGCTCGGCATGTAAAAGGGGTTGAGCCACACCTAAGTGGCGGATCCACGCCTACTTTTATGTGAAGCTTGGGCTTATATATAATGTTGCCTAGCTTTACTCATTTAGAAACCCACACTGTGGATAGGGTTACATATATAAATTGACAAAGTGGTTTAATTTGGTTAAAAAGAAATTTGTGTTTGTTTGTTTTTTTGTTTTTTTTTTTATTTTTAAAGATGAATTGGGAAAATGAGTCTAATTTGGCTTTGTGAATTGTCTTTGCTGCAGGAAAGGAGAACATGAAAATGACGTGTTTTCAGCTTCTGGGAATAGGACTGTGAAAGAACCTAGAGTTGTGGTGCAGACGACGAGTGAAATTGATATTCTGGATGATGGGTATAGATGGAGGAAGTACGGACAGAAAGTAGTCAAGGGAAATCCAAATCCAAGGTATACTTGCTTAAGCAATGACTTCAGTCCTATACAACTTACTATTTATGACCACGTCAATAATGTTTCTCTTTGTTGGTCGGTAACTTTATTAAGGTGTCTATAAAGCGACTTTATAGAATAACATTGTTTTGAAAAAACATTAGGAAGACACGCTATTTGGGTTGAAATTTTTAGTTTAAGCAGCTACTTTTCTCTCTTTTTTTTTCAAAAAAAAAAAAAAAAAAAAAAAAGTTATTGCCTTAGTGATGAATTACTATGTATATAGTGAGTGATATTAGCATTATTGTCAAACTTAATTTTGTTGGTCCATTTTGTAGGAGCTATTATAAGTGTACATCGGTGGGATGTCCAGTAAGAAAACACGTGGAGCGAGCATCGCACGACACAAGGGCTGTGATAACCACGTATGAAGGAAAACACAACCATGATGTTCCCGCAGCCCGAGGCGGCAGCAGCTACGCCGTGAGCAGGCCCACACCTAATAACACCACCAACGAAACCGTAACGATGCCCCTTAGGCCCATGCCTTTGGCCAATCACTCTAACCAATCAACTTATTCGAGCTCCGTTTTGAACACAAGGTTGCCAAACTCAGTGGCTCAGCCACCCTACACCCTGCAAATGCTGCAGGGTCAGGGGAGTCTTGGATTTTCGGGGTTTGTAAAACCGGCCGGGATGTATGTTCAAGTTCAACAATCTGAGCCCGAGGGCTTGTTCTTTAAGACCAAGGAAGAAAGAAAAAAGGAGCAGAAGGATGGGACATTTTTTGATTCGTTTCTAGCTTAGAATTACTTCTAACTCGTTGGACCAACTTAGGATACATCAATTAGAAATATTTACAAGTTCCAATGTATAGTTACGTAGGCAGTTGTATTAGAATGTTTTAGGGTTTGCACACGTAGCCTGTTACATTTTTTTTTTATTCGTTTTAGATCATAGTAGACTAAATTAGAAGTTTTTGAACAATTGAGTTTTTCTTGTGAAACAAAGGAGAACATAGAGTCACCAAAAAAAGAAAAAGGCTTAAACTGATAGCAAAGTTCACATGTTGTACTCATTCTTGATGATGTCCTTCCAATTTCACAGAATAAAGTATTAGATTTCTCAACTTCAAAAATCAAAGTATTAACACTAAGAGCCAATATGTTATGGACCATACATGTGCGACTGTAAGGGCGTTGACTGTCGGTTGTTGATTATAGCCAGTATGATTCGATGACCCCACGATGTCCCCGCCACCCTTGTTTGTGGTACTAATCACAGCCATCGCAAACACCCAAAAACAAAAATTAGGGAACGATCGAGATAGAGACAAAACGAGAACTACACTCACTAATTCAAAAACTATACACTCGGCGAACCTGTGTTCTATTCCATCCAATTTCTAGCCCTCATGCAAAACTATAGGCTACTAATGGTAGAGTCAAATAGTTAAGACGAAAAAAATACTACAACTTGAAGTTTAGGAGGTTAAAATACGATTGGGGCCTATACTCGGTACCGAAATTGATAATGACCTGAATGATGCTTCAATAAATGACTAATAGTGAACAGTCACAAGAATCAAAATTTCTAAAGAAACAACCCTTCAAAAAAAAACAAAAACAAAAACAAAATATAACATCGCATGTCTAAACTTTCCATATAATAAACCATGGTACAGTCGAACCAGCACAATTTAACTTGCATTAACAAGGCAAAAAGCCATAAACATTCTGCTCTTTCATAACAACAATCTGTACATCTCTTATTGGAATCTGTAGAGCATAAGCGAAACTCGTTAATGCACAGATGGCTCATGCTTAAGAAACTGATTACAATCCAAATCAGGAAAAATAATAGACAAAAAAATAAAAATAAAAATAAAAAACCGTGTTTTGAATATATAACCTTAACCCCTTTTTATACAATAGATGAATCTAAAACAGTTTGGTACGTATAATGTGACAAATGAAACAAAACGAAAGAATGGTTCAAGTTGAACAGATTTAAGATTGATTTGATAACTTGTATCCTGAAACGACAGCTGACAAAGCAAGTGTGAAGAAAGCTAGGAATGACATGGTAATTGCCGAGGCTAAGGAATCAGTGAATATGTTGTCTTGTGATTCTCTCATTCTATTTATCATTGGAACAGCCGATGATGCTGACGATATCAAGAGGTATGCTGCAATCTGCCAACAACCGGTTTTGTCAACTTCAAACTACACGTTTACTTACGAACAAAGTAAAGTTGGAACTAGTGGAATCAACTAAAATTTCTTTGTTGTTTCGTGTTTCTTTTTCCATAATTTGACGCTGAATTAGATAATTGAATGTTACAAAGTGGTGAATATTGCATAATAGACTTGACTTAACTAAACTACAAAGTGGAAGCTTATTGAGAAAAGACACGCAATTGCCGAGTATCGCATAACCGTGTGCTTGTTTATGTTTTATATACATATATATATATCTACGCATATATATATATATATATATATATATATATATGATGGTCATTTTAGCCACACCTTTTTAATTAATGGCCGAGTTCTTTTCTCCAGATAAATGACCGAATCTTTTTTTTTTTATTATTATTTTAAGATAAATGACCCTTTTTTAAGTAGTCAATCACTCGTATAACAAGGTTTATCAATGATAAATCAGTAACTATGGATTGAGATTGGCCAATCACTAATTAATATTGATCCATCATTGATTGAAATTAATCAATTAGTAATAAACCATCAAATCATACACCATTAAATCAATCAAAGATAAACCATAAACAGTCATTTCCCTAATTTTACAAAACTTTAGTCATTTATAAAAATAAAAATAAAGCTTTAAAACAACCATTTTCACCTGTTCCTATATAGAATTATAAGTTCTGGAATGATATCTATCTTATATTATGGTATTTATGTCTCACATATATTTGTGGTATGATATTTGTAATTGAAAAAAAATCTACAGCACTTAAAAAGTACTTTATCAATGAGACACTTTTTAACCTTCAAATCATCCGAAATCATATCATATTATAAAAAAAAAAAGATTTAATCAAAATGTAATGCTTAAAAGCTCGATTATAAAAATAGAGTTCTTTTTCGTATTTTATCTTAAAACTCTCCTTGCAATTGATGGAAAGAGGACAAAAAATAAATAAATAAACCAACCAACCGACCAACCAAAGAAAAGAAAAGAAAGAGAAAAGGGCAGCTTCTTTTTCAGCTCATAAGCTTGGAGTGGGCCACTAGCATGTGTACACATAATCATTAGACCTTCTACCATATTCTTTTGATCTTATCCTAGATAGAACTGCAAGTTCTACTGTGCACATGTTTATTAACATTTTAATAAATAAACAAATAAAATGACAATTAAAACATATTCTGAATAATTTTGATTGTAAGATAATTGGAACTCCAACCACAATCAAAGATAGAAACATACATGATTCGACTTAGCCATAGTAAAACGAAAATCTCAAGGAACATTTTTATTATGGAAAAAAAAAATAACCGTAGGAGAGAGAACCGGAAACGCAAAACGAACCTGATCACCACAGAAGTCGAACAAAGCCGACGTCGAACGCTGGAACAGGTATTTCCCGGTAGAAAGTTCGTGGACTTTTAGCAAACATTGTCCTCCGCTGTACAACGTCGACAGAGTCGCTATTGCCAACACATATCTACAATTATAAATTATTTCCAAATTTATTCCTCCCAATATATAACTTACAATAAAAATAACAAATATCAAATATTAAAACACGAAAAGAAAAAGAAAAAAAATTAACCTGAATTCCTCGTATCGATCGAAGTTCTTCCAATCGCCGTGTTTGTTACTGGCCATGATTATGAAAGAAAGGAGAGAGAAAAGAAAAGCCAATCCTCTCAAAGCCAACGATCCTCTTCTCAGTAGGTCCTCCCTCTTCCACCGCCGTAGGATCCCAGCCACTCCGATACTGGCCGTCTCCTCCGTCGTCGGATTCTCCAGGTCAGCCGTCGGTGGGGCCGTCGGCGCAGATCCTACGTGGCTCTGCTGCTTCCCTCCGTCCTCGGAATTCGTCATGGATCGGTCGTTTTCTAGAAATTCGTGACGAAACAAAAACCGGAAAAAATAGAAAAGTAAAAACAATTTTTAACTGTTCTTTAATTTCTTCATAAAAATTATTTTTACTATTTTTATTTTTATTTTTAAAATATTTACTAAATAAACGTAATTTTATTTTTATTTTTACTTTTTATTTATAATACGTAAAAACTGTTTTAAAAGACGGTTTTAAACACGCATGTTGTTGGTTTGTTTTCCTTGCCCGTGTGGACTCAGCTTGCCCACGCGCTCTGACTGATGTGTAAGCCACGGACCTTGTTAGTTGACACGTGCTTTTTCTTTTTCTTTTGTTTTTGTCTTTTTTTTTTCCTTTGTTTGTTTTTGCTGAGGAGGCATTATTAGCCAATACGGGATTTGTGGGAGGTTTTACGGTTATTATGGTTGTGATGAGAAGAGCCAAACAGCTCAGAAATTGTGAGGTTTTTGGAATTTTCTGTTGGTACTTGGAATTGGAACTGGTCCTGTCCTATCCGTTTTTTACTTTTTTTTTTATTTTTTTATTTTTTTTTTAATCTTTCCTTACACGGTTTCTGTTTAGTTGTTGTAATGGGTCTTCAATTAATTAAAAAAATGATCCTCTCTGATAAGTTAATATATTATAAGTTAAATTTTTTATTCGTTAAATTTATATAGAATTACATAAAAATTAAAAAATATATAGATTTAATAGTTAAAAAATTTAATATACAGATACGTTAAATGTATTAAAATTTTTTTTTTTTAAAAATAGATAAAAAAAGAAAAGTTTTTACATTGGAGTATTCTGTCTAATGTTAAATTTACTCAAAATTGCGTCAAGACAAAAAAAAAAAAAACAATACAAAACTAATATAAAGTTTAAAATAGATCTAAGGGTAACCGAGTATTATCTATTTTTCATACACTATTCTATTGTAGAATTTTCAATTTAAAAAAAAAAAAAAAACGCATTAGTAAGATGAATAAACAAATGTTTGGCTCAATAGAATTTTCAATTTAAAAAAAAAAAAAGAAAACGTATTAGTAAGATGAATAAACAAATGTTTGGCTTAAGAATTTCAATTTTATTGCGACTCTGTCCATTTGGCATTTTTGGCTTAAGAGAATTATGGTTCGCATTAATCTGGTGTTTAATACTTTTTGTAGCCCGTTGACATTGGCATCGAAGATTTTTTTTTTTCACTTTTCTATTCTTTTTTTGTTTTGTTTTTTGTTTTTTTTTTTTTTTTTATCAGGGCATCTGAAGACCTCGTACATCTCTATTCCAACGACAACGCGTCAAGTTTGTGAGGACTTTGTCAACCACAGTAAATATATTGATTTTTTGCCCGAAGAACCGTTACTTTTTTAGATCTTTTTCGGCACATTAATTTATTAATATGTTAAATTTTTTATTCGTTAAATCCCAATAAAATTGCGGTAAAATTAAAATAGATTTAACTATTAAAAAATTTAATTTACTAATATATCAAGCGTATCAGAGAATTTTCCTCATTAGTTTGGTGGCTTTAATTAAGTTTTGATACTCTTTTTTTTGTAAATACTATTACTTCTTGATTACAAGCTTTTAGATCTGTATAAAATCACATAAAAATTGAACAAAAACACAGATTTAATTATTAAAAAAACTTAGCTTGTCAGTACGTTAGGTGTACTAGAAAATTTCCCTACTTATTTTGGTAGCTTTGATTAAGTTTTGATACTCTTTTCTTGTAAATACTATTACTTCTTAATTACAAGCTTTCATATCTACATAAAATCACGTAAAAGTAAAAAAATTCACAAATTAACTATTAGAAAACTTAACCTACCGATACATCATGCGTCAAAGAATCTCCATACTTATTTTGGTGGCTTTGATTAAGTTTTGATACTCTTTTCTTGTAAATACTGTTACTTCTTGGTTACAAGCTTTCACTCTCTACATTATGAATTGATCTGTCAAGCCTCCACAAAAGAAAAGAAAAGAAGATCAGAATGGAAAGAAAAAAAAAAGGAAATTCCTTTAAAAACTGAAGAAAAATTGTAAAACCAACAATTCTAACAAAAGAAAAGGTTTACATCATGTGATTCTAATCATTGCGAGGTCTCTAATCATTGCGAGGTCCAATTGATGAACAAGGTCTGGTTTCCATGTTGGTTAACGAATTATTTTATTCAAGTTCAAGAGCACATGAGCCATGAATCAAACTTATTCTAAGTTGAATTTGAGCATTTTACTATTTTATTTCTCCAGAGCAAATCTCAAGAAAAGTGGTTATGTGTGTGTTCGGATTCTTCATCCAAGTTCTTCATAAGAGTCATTTGTCCCTCCATGCCTTTTTGTAGCTTAGGTTGATGCCGGTTTCATACACATAGCCAAGTATTGCTGGGGGCTTAAATCCCACTTAAAATTTTAAATTATATATACAAGGATACGTAATATATTAGGTAATATATACACATACGTCCCATTAAAAACAAAAAAAAAAAAAAAATTTTTTTACAGCCTTCATAAAATTTTTGATTTAGTTATTAGTCTTTACTGACTAAAATTTATGACTCCAACACTAAACGCATTGGTCCTTCATGTCCTATATAATATCGTATAGTATAAATGGTTTTTCCGGTTCCTTATACCTTCTTTTTATGTAGTTGCTTATCACTTGGTCCACTAGTTTGTCACTGCTTACATTGGAGGAAATCGGATGAGCAGGTATGGACTCCATTATATCTTTGTCACCATAGTATGTATATAATGTGGGTATATATATAAAATCGTAATTAAATTTAGAATTAATAATTATTCAAAAGGTTCCAACTAATTCCTACTTATCCAAACTTTTTTTTATTCTTTTATTCCTCTTTTTTTTTTTTTTTTCTTTTTTGTGTATCTCAACCTCTTCCTTAAAACTATAATAATTTGCTTTACTAAAAAAATATTATAATAATAATTTCTTGCCACAGAATCAGCGGAAAACCATGAAAATCTCTTCTTTTTCATTATATTACCCACATCTCAATCAATTACTTACTTCTTTACTGCTGATTTTATCTCATGTGCTTATTAAACTTGTCTAAAAGTAACATTTGATAAATCACATTAGGGACAATCTCTAGAGAAAATATTTACTAATTTGACTTCAAAAAATAAATATTTACAAATGTGGACGGATGTGGGTCAACATTAGGGTGACTTAAAAAAAAATATATATATATATATATATAAATGAATATATATATATATATGAGTCAGTTATAGAGGTTAGTTATGACTTAGGGGATAATGAGTTGGGTTATTTCGTTGTATTTTTTGGTGAGTGGGCTTGTTAAGTGGTTGGGTTAATATGAACCTAACCTTGCTAAAAAAAACAGAGAGAAAAAAAGAAAGAAAAAAAATAAAAAGTTAGATAATAATTGTAAATGGTGTTAGCTAGAGAGTGTGTAAAGAAGAGGATAAAATGTCAGGTAATAACTGTGTGTGTTAAACTTTTAATCTTAATATTATTTTAGGAGTGCTATCTATAAAAGACCTATTTTGTGAGATGATCATTCTTTGATAACCTCTTTATTTCTTGTTTTAAAAATATAACTATTTAAGGGTTCCATAGAGAATAAAAAACCACTTAGAAAGAGATAAAGTTTTAATAATTTAATTGTATCCTATTTATTAACATTAAAGCCTTTGGATTATTTATATTATATAACTAGAGCAACATCTTTTACTTTATTTTTTTAAGCTTATATATATATATGGGTATTTATCTTTGTTGGTTAATTGATTATATAAAAAACTATATTTCGTTTAAAAAAGATCTTAGTTGTTTATTAATTTTGATACCAAAATAAAATTTTTTACTTTTTTTTTTCTGAGACTAAATTTTAGTCACTAAAAAATAGATTTAATGACTAAAAGTGCTTCAGTCACTGAAATTGTAAGATTTTATGTTGTTCAATGACTAATAGTTTAGTCGCAAAAAACATTAAATCTGTAGTGACCAACTTTTGGTCGCTAAATATTATTTTCAGTGACTAGGTTATTTTAGTCATAAAAATTTGGTCTTCCCTCCATTTTTAATATTTGGCGCCACAGGTTTTTGCAACTAAAAACGCATTTAGTCACTAAATATAGCTTTCGGCAACTAAAAAATGGTCATCGGTGATTTTAGTTCCAAAAATAATATACCTCTTGACTAAATAATTGTGAAAAATATATTTAGCGACTAACTAGTTTTAGTCATTGAAAGTTTAATGGCTGAAAGTGTAATTTCTTGTAGTGTTGTATTTCAATTTATAGCAACATGCCTCTGGCTAGAGTCGCGATTGGCTGGACTTATAAACCCTATATCGAAACTTCTTTTTGATTGTTATCATGCTTTTTGGCCTTTTCAGAATCTTCTTGCTCTTAATTGTTGGAAAACTTATATACAAATCGCAGCACTCGGTCTCGTCCATGATAAGAACAATTTCTTGGGTATGATTTCTTTCATCGTCTTCTTTTTCCTTCTAAGCTCGATCTTGACAACCATAATATTGGCTGAGATCCTCAACGTTATTTGCCATCGTGCCATCTCATTTCGATACAAAACAGTTATATGATTGTCTCATAATTTGTTGTGGGTTGTTTAGTTCATGAGTTTAAAGTAAATGGTTTGAATTAAAATTCAAATTTTTATGAGGAAAAACACTATAGTAGTAGAACCGTTTAATTTGACATCGACGAGATAATCTCCTACGTCTCAATAGTTACGCACAAAAGGAAACTCGTGGCATCCGATACTTTTCTTTTGAGCTCCAGGAAGAACATGACAAGATCAAAGTTCACTATTTCTAATCTCGGTGATCTATCATTCACTTGGTAATGGATTACAATGTTTCAATCTTCCTTTCCAAATTCAAACCCTAGTAAACTATATCAATAAATTCATGTAGGTAGCATGACCATGCACCAAGATCCTCGTTATTTAGAACGTACTCGTTCTTCTAATTCCCCCATCCGTTGTGATTAGCA